AGCCCAAGTGCTTATCAACAAATGAATATACAGAGAAACAAGTACATTCACACCATCGAATAAGCCATGGAAAACAATGAAGAACTCATAAACACTAGTTACTATGGATGAGCCTAGAGAATATTATGCTGAGTGAATAACTCAGTCACAAAAGGACAAATACTATGTGCAAGATCAGTGTTATCAAGATAGGAATATTGTGGGGTGGAGGGAGCACAAATGGTAGAGGAAATGGAAAAAATATGGATAGATAATACTACATTGGATTAGGTGAAAAATCAATTTGAAATGAATGGACGATTAGACATTATGTGTAATGCAGTAGAAATCTAGAACAGATTATGACTGAAGGAGAGTGAAAAAAGAGGATAAATCTGAGTGAATGAATTAATGACAAGCCAATTACTTTGCAAACTTTTGTTCAACAGAAAAATAAGTCATAAATACAATCGCAGAAAAACTCCACCCAAAACTCTACCAACACACAGCACATTAGAAATGCACCATATGACTAAATCATATTTCCTTAAAGAATTCATCTGAAGGGGTTTTTTTGTTCTTGAAAATAAAACTTCTATGAATAGGTACATTTTATAAGAAATTGTCAAATGTTTTTTCAGAAAGGGTGGTGGCACTTTACTTGCCAATGTGAGTCATCTCATTTCTCTATAGCTAGCCAGCTTTTGGTGTTATTATTTTTCAATTTGTGTTATTCTGATACATGTATAGTAATTTCCCTTAGAAACTTTGCTGTTATGTTTAATCTACTCAGCATATAGAATTTCACAAAATTTACCTAACAAATAAGAAATAGCCCCAAAATTCATAAGTGGTTCTTGACGATACCATGCTAAGGAAAAAAAATCAATCATAAAGGATAATTATCAGATAACCACACTTACGTGAACTATCTAGAGTGGACAAGTATCTATGGACCAAAGTTAGCAAGTGGTTACAGACAGGAAGGAGGCAGGTGAACAGGAAGACTTATTGCTCAGCAGACACAGAGCTGCTATCTGGTAAAGATGAGGGAAAAATTTGGGGAAAAAATAATGGTGATGGTTGCACAGAATAATGAACATAATTTATGTAACTGATTAACATATGGAAGAACATTGAAATGACAAATGCTGATTAAAATATATTTAACACATTTTTTAAATCAACTTTTTTATTTATTTCTATGTTACAATCATATAGAGTTTACGTATTATTTTTACTGCCACAATGTTGGGAATATTCAAACACATCTGGGCTCCTTTTGTAATTATAGTCAGATGTTATATGCACATATCAAGATGTAATTGCTAAGTAATTTTCTTTCTTTTTTAAAAAATAAAGACCTGCAAAATATTTTATTGCATAGAACACTGTTTAGGACATAGAGATTGGGAACTGCAATCATGTAGCATTGGAAGAACTTTACAAATAGTGCATTTTAAGAAATTTGTCACATACTTTTTTCTTTTTACAGTTTGTCTTCTTTTTTTTCTTTGTTTAATAATTTTAATGAACATTTACAGAGATTTTGGATTTCCATTCATTCTTTGCTGCACTTCTCTCCTCGCCCAGCCCTTTTCAAAAAATATAGAAGTTACAGTTAAGAGTCAACTAAGTACAGTGAAGCATTTTAGGAATGTTAGAGATTAAAGAATATGAGTGATACAAAGAAGGGGTGGAAGCCATAATTCTTGCTGGCTTTATAATGTGTTTCTTTCAAAAGTAACTGTACATGTTGTAATCAGTTTGTAGTTAAATATTTCTACTAATCGGCTTTGGGAGAGCAAATGTTTCAGAGTTTTGAGTTCCTCTATAAGCTTCTGGTTTTGAACTTCCAGCACTGCAACACGACTCTCCAGACATTTTGCATAGTCTTTCTTTCAGAGTCGACATTCTTTTGTGGCTTCCCTGCTTTTCACTAGCCTCGGCTCCTGTTTGTCTGTTGCTTCTTCAGCTAACTGTTGCCAGCTGTGCAAACTCACCGGTGAGGCAGCCATCACTACTCCTTGTGGCAAAGCCATAGTAGAAGCTCGGATCTGGCAAGTTAGCATAAGAGCCTCTTACAGAAAAAGGATTTCTCTACACTTTTGAGAATCAATTACACCTTCTGATACTGCAGACTCATCTGTCTCTGCAGTTATTGCTACCTGCACAGTTTGTATCTGTGGCTATTATACACAGCTTGTATAACTGATGGCTGTGGTGTCTGAATTACTGCTTGGACATGCACAGTTTGGCCCTAAGGTAATGACAGTAGAGTTACAGCTGGGGAACCTCTTCCGGTGCCTGATCCAGCTACAGAAACCCTCCTAGAGTTGATCCTGACTCATAGCACTCTTCCACCAGGCTGGATCCTGAGGTGATAAACCTTAAAAGGACTGCCTTGCCTTTCTCCAACACATCAGCCACAAAGGCAAGATAGGGTGGAGTTTTCCTACTCTCAGTTCTTGAAAAAGGCTATTTCAGGCAGGTGTGAATTACCCAAGACATCAAGGTAAATGTTCTTCAACATGTGCTTGCTCGTCCATCCATACTGAGCAGTTTCACCTGGATTTCACCACATCTTCCAGGCTAGAAGTGGTGTGGATCCATCTGAAGTTTTGCTAGTCTTTGCACTGTTAGGTCTTCGCACTGGATGTAAGTAAGGTCAAGGACTGCTAAGTAATTTTCTAAAACACTCTTTGGTGGATTCAGAGGAAGATTTTGTAATATCTTCCTTTCTTACATGAAATAAGAAGGTTGTGAAAATCTTGCAACGAGTTCAAAATAGGTTTTAACTTGTTGTTGTTGTTGTTACGTGCTGTCAAGTCACTTGGTTAGGACAGGGTTCAGATCTATTGTTCATAGAATTTCTATGAGTCATGTCTGACTAAATGACACCTAACAACAACATACTTCTGATTATAAAGCCAAGTTTCCAACAATTAGATTTGACCTAGCCCTATTTTGGTCAGTTTGGCAGGAGATATGACAAATCTATTGCCCATGTAATATGTCATCAAATCCTCACAGACTTTGGCTTGTCCAGAGGCTGTCGGAAGGGTTTTATAAGCAACAGAATCCAGAAATACAGGCACCTAAAAGCCCTGTAAAACATTCCCATGTTAGGCAAAAGATTAAAGCATTCTGGTACTAACTGAAAGGCTGGTGGTTTTAGTCCATTCACCTTAACACAATACAATCAGTATTTAATCATTTTCTGTAATTGTTAGTTGTACTTACTGTGAATTTCAGCAAACCAGGTTGTGTCATCTGGCATAACATAGGTTGTTGATGAGTCTTCCTCCAATCCTAATACCACATTCCTCCTCAAATGCCCAGCCTCTCAAATTATTTGTTCTTCATATAGATTGAAAAGGTATGGAGACAGGATGCATCCCTGACACACTCCCTTCCTGATTTTGTAACATGCATTATTTCCCTGCTCTGTTCTGATGACTGCTTTCTAGTCCAAGTATAGGTTTGGCATAAACATAAATCAAGTGTTCTGGGATTCCTATTCTCCTCAAGGTTAACCATAATTTGTTGTGATCAACACAGTCAAATGCTTTTGCATAGTCAATGAAACACAGATAGACATTCCTCTTGTTCTCTTTGCTTTCTGCCAAGATCCATCTGACATTGGCAATAACATCTCTATTGTCACAGCCTCTTCTAAACCCAGCTTGCGGTTCTTGTAGTTCTCTGTCAATGTACTGTTACAATGATTTCTAGATAATCTTCAGCATGATTTTGTGTGTGGTATGAGTGATATTGTATGACAATTTCCACACTCTGCTGAGTCATCTTTTTTATGGAATAGGAACATATATGGACCTCTTCTACTCAGATGGCCAGGTAGATTTCTCCAGATTTCTTGGAACAGCCTGGGGAGAACTGAGGCAGACCTGAAGCACTTGCTTCAGAAGGTCAAGGACTGTAGTCTTCAATATGGATTGAAGCACAACATCAAAAAGACGAAGTTTCTCACCACTAGGCCAAATGACAGCACCATGAAGGACAGAGAAGAAATTGAGGTTGTTAACAGTTATATAACTTACTCAGCTCCACAATGAACAATCTTTGCACCAGGAGTCAGGCAATCAAAAGATAAAATGCATTGGGTAAATCTGCTATCGGAGACCTTTCTAGAGTACTGAGAAGCAATGATCATATTCTAGAGACTAAGCTGCGCCTGATCCAGTGCATGGTCTTTGCAAGTGCTTGCTATGCATCAGAAGGTTGAATAATGACTAAGGATGATAGAAGAAAAATTTATGCCGTTTTGTTGTGGTGCTTGAGAGGAGTCTTGATCATATCATGGACCTCCAAGGAAATAAATAGGTCTGTCTTGGAGAAAGTGAAACCAAGTTTCTCCTTGGAGTCTAGGATTTTGAAGCTCCACTTTACATACTTGGGGAACACGGCCAAGAAGGACGGATCCTTAAGGAAGGACATCATGCTCAGAAGGGTGGAGGGACAGAACAGCAGAGGAAGATTCTGAATGAATGGATTAATACAATGACTAGGGAAATGGGAGTATGTGTGTTGGAGTCAGTGAGATTGGATCAGGACAGGGCAGGCTTCAGAGCTAGTTATAGTACATAGGGTTGCTATGAGTCGCAGGCAATTCAATGGCACATTTTAACAACATTGTGAATTTCATATAAATGAAAGCATTTGTCATACATTCGTTTCTATCTGGCTTTTTTGTTTCACCCAATTTTGAAATTTATACATGCTTTTATTTTGTTTCACTCCTTTGTTTTTCGTGATCATTCTTTATTTTAACTGAATACTGTTCCATTGCATGGGTATATCACAAATATGCATTCATCTATGATCCCTTGACTCTTTTTTCCCTCTTTTCGAGCACTTGATTCTTATATATCATCTATATTTCTTTCCACAGTGGCTTTAACCTTGCAGTCAAAAATGTTTCTTTGTAAATAATCTAATCACAAATTATTCTAAAAGTCAAACAGAAAAATGACAAATTGTCATTTTCACATTGTTTTTCATCAGAAAATACAATCAATTTTCTTCTTACAAATACAGTTGTAGGTTTCAAAGCAGTCCATACTTGTTATTCTTGTTGAAGATAAAAATGCACAGTGTCCTTTCTCAGTAAAATTGCTGTAGAAGAGAAATCACACAGAGTCAATAATTTAATTCTGAAGTTTGAAATAATATAAAGCTTGCTCTAACCTCTGCCAATCTTATTGTCTCTGACACACCTACTCCCATTACCCCAGTCACTGAATCAATCCATTTTATCAAGGGGTTTCCTTTCTTGCACTGTCCCTCCACCCTCCTAAGCATTACGTCCTTCTCCAAGGACTGGATCTACCTTGAAACATGCATACAAGTTGAATATATGTGGAAAATGAATAGAGCCTGGATGCACAACTTTCTTGATTTTAAACCATAATGTCTTGCCTTCCTCTGATAAGACAACAGCTTCTTGGCTTAAGCATAAATTTTGAATGAGTATAATTAGATGTTCTGAGATTTCCATTTTTTTCAATACAAGCCATTGTTGTTGTTGCTGCTGTTATGTGTCATCAAGTCGCTTCTGACTCATAGTGACCCTATGTACAACAGCCCTAAACCGTGCTTTATCCTGTGCCAAGCTATTGTCTCTGACACACCTACCCTCATTACCCCAGTCACTGAATCAATTCATGACATCTAGGGTCTTCCTCTCCTGTGCTGTCCTTCCATGCTTCCAAACACGATGTCCCTCTCCAAGGACTGGCCCTGTATTAAAACCTGCCCAAAGTATGTCAAATGAGCCTCAGGATCCTCGCCTCCAAGGAGCAGCCTGATTTTACCCTTTCTGGGATGAACCTGTTTGTTCTTCTGGCAGTCCATGGTATATTCAATACTCTTCTCTAACACCACAGCTCAAAGGCAACAATTGTCTATCATCCCTAGTCATTATAAGCTTTCTGAAGCACTGTAAGTAATTGCAAAGACTATGTCCTGGATCAGGCACACCTTAGTTTCCAGACTGACATCGTTGCTCTTCAGCACTCTGGAGAGGTCTCTGATAGCCAACTTTCCCAATGCAATTCGTCTTTTAATTTCCTGGCTGCTGGTACCAAAAGTGTTGATTCATAGTTTTTTATAATCTACATATTCAAATTCCTTTGTATAGTTAATATAACACAAATAGATATTTTTTTCTAATATTCTCTTTTTGTCAAGGTCCAACTGACATCAGCAATAATGTCCCTGATGCCACAGCTTTTTCTAAATGCACTTGAACTTCTGGCAGTTCTCTGTCAATATACTATTCTTGCTGGTTTTGGATGATCCTTCAGGATTATTTTGTGTGTGAAATTTAATAAATAATATATTTATTATATTACTAATATATATTGTTGTTATTGTTGTTGTCATTGATTGACTTGGAGTTCAGCACGACTCATAGTGACTCTATGAACACAACTCTCGATATTAATCAGAGTTCATAGAGTTTCCAGAGGCATGTTGTTTAGGAAGCGGATGTCGTTTCTGCATTACTATTATATGTACTCCTTACCTCACCATATCTACTGGGCTGACTCATTTGGACTCTTCTTACCAATCAACTCTGGAGATAAACTCTGATCTGGGTTCTAATATTGGCCAGCTTCTATGACCATAAAGGAAATTTACCAGCCTATGAAAGGTGGAACTTATTCTGATGTGGCTTGTGTAAAACAAATTTTTTCTTTACTTTAGAAGACATCCCTGTTTCATTTTATTTTTCTTTTCTAAACTATTCCATTTCAAAATATAAAGACTGTAATGAAGGACTATAATCTCTGTACTTAGACTATTGCTTTCAAGTCAATGCTTCTTAAAGATTCTGTAAGATAAAGATCTGCCCCCAAAGAGTTTCCAAAGTAGTAAATCATAATGGAAGCAGATTGCTTCATCTTTTTCCCATGGAAGTGCTAGTGGGTTTAAAGTAGCCATCTTTTGGTGGTGGTGGATGTTAAGTGCCATTGAGTAGATCACAACTCATAGTGACTCTATGAACAAAAAACCTTTAACCCTGTTTTATAACTATTATCATTTCTCCAAGTTCATAGAGTTTCCAGAGGTATGTTGTTTAGGAAGTGGATACAACTCCTGCTTCCAAGCCTGTGTTAATCTGGAAGCTCCACCAAACACTGTCAACCTTGTGTAACCATTATGGCATTTGACACACCAATGGAACAGAGTTGAGTAATCTCAAGTTTCCTTAGGACAGCAAATTAACAGAACAGTGAAGACCAATTATTATTATTCCAAGCATTCTTAGAAACACAGTGTATACACACACATATTGTTGTTGTTGTTGTTAAGTGCCATCATGTCATAGACAACTCATAGCAACCCTATGAATGAAAGACCTGAACACTTGTATAACTTTTATATATGTGTGTGTGTGTACGTATATATGTATATATATTTTTCCTATATATACTCTAAACATATATATATATATCTTTTCATATATATATATATATACACACACTCTAATAGATTTGTAAATATATTGTTTAACATATGTATATGTATGTGTATATGTATGTGTGTGTGTGTGTGTATGTGTATGTGTATGTATATGTATATGTATATGTATATATGTGTATGTGTGTGTATATATATATACTCTAAATTAATTTTGAGGATGTTCAGAATATTTGTTATTGATAAGATGGATCACTGTGGCATAATCAGGGTAATTTAGGCACTTAATGTCACCTTATTATTTTGCTTTAGTTCATGTACCTCATAACTGACGCTTCTGAGCATGTACTTTGTAGCACATTTGCATTATTATTAATAGCTCTATGCTACACTTCTCCTCCTCTTCAACCATACTCCTTCAAATACTTTCTTAACTATTTTATTTATTCTTACCAACAACCTCTACTTGAAAATTAAATAAGGGAGGATTCTTCTTAGATATAATCATTCCAACTTTATCTCCAATTATAGACTTTGAATGTATTCCAGAGACTTACTAGTTAGATGACTTGCTGCTGTCGACCCATTTCCAATCTTTTTCTTTCTCGTGATATGATAATCCAATCCAGAAAATATCTTTATAAGCCTGAGATTGAATGAAAACCTATAAAGAAAACAAAATATATGATTTGACTAAAATATCATCAAGTATATAAAAGAAGAGAAGATGGATTGGATAATAGGCCAGCTCTTTCTATGGCTACAATTCTGCTACCCTCCACATCATCCTTCACCATTCCTTCCTAGAAAAAAAAACATTTTTCCTCTCAATAATTATATCTCCAATACACACAATTTTTCTCAATAGATTATTTATGTTAAAAATGGCTCTTGACGAGCTCTGGTGGCCTAGTGGCAAGAAGCTGTACTGCAATCCCAGGGGTGCATGGTTTGAATCCACCAGATGGTCTGCTGGAGAAGGAGGGACAATCTCCTCCTGCACCATTCAGATCCAATTTGACGGTACACACACAAAAAAATTAAAAGAAAATAAATTAAATAAAAATGACTTAAAACTTCAATGATTATTTAAAACATAGAAAAATAGAAATTTTTATTGCAGCAACAGAGAGATTATTAAACTATTTATGAGAATGTATCCACCTATTAAGAACCATCCTCCCAAAGAATATTTAAAAATACAGAAAACCGTGCATCACATATTGTTTGTGTGTGTGTGTGTGGGTGTGTGTGACATCGGTGTTTTTTATTTTTTTTAAATTTAATGAAAGTTTACAGAGACTTTGGATTCCCATTCATTCATTGTTATACACTTTCCTCCCTGCCCACCCCTCCCCCATAATTCACTTTTCTCTTTGAAAAGTGAGGAAAAAAATTCTTTCATTGTTATACAATCCCCCCTGCCCCTGCAAGTCCACTACACTATGCAGCTTTCATTCTGGACTCTTGTCATAACAATAATACCCAATCATATATTCCTATTAATCAGTTCTCTTCCTCATCTGTTTCAATGCAGTATACATTATTTACCCCCTCTTAGTTTCCTGCCAACCCCAATGTCAGTTCCACTTTACAAAAGTGGCACTATGCAGTATTTGTCCTTTTGTGCTGATATTTCACTCAGCATTATGTCCTCAAGGGTTACCCATTTTGTATAATACTTGATGAGTTCTTTGGTTTTCAGTGCTGCATAGTATCCCATTATGTGAATATACTGTAGCTTCTCTATCCATTCATTTGTTAACGGGCACCTAGGTTGTTTCCAACTCTTTGCTATTGTGAAAAAAGAAGCAATAAACATGGTTGTGCATATATCTGCTTGGGTGTCAGTTCTGCTTTCTTTAGGGTATATTCCCAGTAGTGGAACTGCTGAGTCAAATGGTATTTCTATTTCTAAATATTTAAGAAAGCACAATACTGCCTTCAATAGTGGTTGCACCATTTTACAGTCCGATCTGCAGTGAATAAGGATTGCAGTTTCTCTGCAACCTTGCCAGCATTTGTTGTTTGCTGTTTTGTTAAATTTTGCTATTCTTACTGGGGTGAGATGATATCTCATAGTTGCTTTGGCATAACATATTCTTAAGTGAAAGAATCATCAAAACAAACTCATTAAAATAAAAGCATGCATGTGCACTCAAAACTTTCTGCACGCTAGTGATTTTGAAAGGTGAAGAGAAAAGAGGAAGTATTTGGAAGTATTCAGTAAATTTAGCAAATGTAATATGTCAAAATTGATACATAATGTCTGATTAAATCACTGAGTGTATGTTAAAATATAGGTTTTTATTTTTTGTTTTACTGACTCAAACTTACAAATTTTTTGATAACCCAATATTACAAATTCTTTTATGTTGTGATTTAGATTATGCAGTAATTTTACATACAAATTTTTATTGTATCTCTAAATTATAAATAAAAGACTCAGGTTGGCCTTTCTGAATACTTTTCTGAACTTTGATAAATATTGATAGTTGTAGAGGGGCTTCAGGCCTTTTGTTCATAGGGTCGCTATGAGTCATGCTTGACTTGAAGGCAATCAACAATAACAACCATAATAAATGAAAAAGACAATTTCAATATCATTGTTACTATTGTTGTTGTTGTTATGTGCTGTCGAGTGTTTTGCGACTCATAGCCACACTATGTACAACACCCCTAAACCCTGCTCTATCCTGTGCCAGTCGCATTGCCTCTGATACAACCATCCCGATTACCCCAGTCACTGAATCAATCCACCTCATAGAGGGTCTTCCCCTCCTGAACTGTCCCTCCACCCTACCAAGCATGATGTCCCTCTCCAAGAACCTCTCTCTCCTTACAACATGTCCAAAGTATGTCAGACAAAGCCCCAGAATCCTTGCCTCCAAAGAGTAGCCTGGTTTAACCCTCTCCAGAATGAATCCGTTTGTTTCCTTGGCAGTCCATGGTACACTCAATACTCTTCTCCAGCACCACAGCTCAAAGGCATCAATTCTCTTTCTGTCCTCCCTAGCCATTGTCCAACTCTCTGTTGCATAACAAGTAATTGCAAAGACCATGGCCTGTATCAGACACACCTTAGTCTCCAGAGAGACACCGTTGCTCTTGAGTACTTTAGAGGGGTCCCTAACAGCAGACTTTCCCATTGCAATACATTTTTTTATTTCCTGGCTGCTGGTGCCAAGAGTGTTGACTGTGGAGCCGAGCAAACTGAAGCTGTGAACAATCTCAATTTCTTCGCCATCCATCCTGATGCTACCAATTGGTCCAGTGGTGAGAATCTTTGTCTTCTTGACATTGAGCCTCAGTCCATACTGAAGGCTGCAGTCCTTGACCCTCTGCAGCAAGTGCATGAGGTCCTCCTCAGTTTCAGCAAGCAGGGTTGTGTCATCTGCATAATGCAGATTGTTAATAGATCTTCCACCAATCTTGATGCCACACTTCTCCTCATAGAGGCCAGCCTCCCCGATAATCTGCTCTGCATACAGGTTGAAAAAGTATGGAGACAGGACACATCCCTGGCGTACACCCTTCCCAATTTTGAACCATGCGGTGTTAACCTGCTCTGTTCTGATGACTGCCTCTTGTTCCAAGTATAGGTTTCGCATTATCATGATTAAATATTCTGGGATTCCCATTCTTCTCACAGTCAGCCACAGTTTGTTATGATCCACACAGTCAAATGCCTTTGCATAATCAATGAAACACAGATAGACATTCTTCTGGTATTCCCTGCTTTCAGCTAAGATCCATCTAATTTCACTTTTCATTTTTTTTAATAAATAGAAACACTTTGACATAATATAACCAAGCAAATGTAACTTTTTTTTTAATTAGAGAGTATTTTAAAGTCAGGCTAGGCTTTGGAACATTTGTAGAGATAAATATATGTTCTAGAATAAAACAGTAAAACAAAAACCAGCCCGGCACTAGTCTTTGGTTGATCTGAGGCTTGTTCCTGTCCCTCCAAAGAATTGTGAGTAATTATATGGCTGTTGCTCCTAGCATCTTCGCACATCTCAGGTGGAACAACATTCCGATGAGCCCCAGAGACCATTTTATTCCCATCTCTTGTTGGTTTAGTTCTGTATAATGAAAGCACTGATGGTTTTTGTAGAATTCTCACCTTCTGTGCAGGAGATTAGGTTCAGTAAAGCATATGCAGCCACCACTCATTTGTCAGTGGAGGCTTATGTGTTGTTGTGATGCTGAATAAGTTTCAACCGTGTTGATAGACTCAACAGATAATAAAGAAAGGCTTGGCACTGGGCTTCCAAAAGCTAGCCAATGAAAACCCTGTGCATCTCCGCAGTCCTAGCCACCACTGATCATGTGAGGGCACAGTAACGGTGACATGTCCATGCTGAGCCCATGCCCCTGTCTTTCCCTTCTTCCCCTTTTCTTCCTATCCTTTCTTTTCCCACTAATTCTTCTCTCCTTCCCCCTTTTCCTTGCTACCCTTCCTTTCTTCTCCTTCACCTTGCTTTCCCCCACTCTCCTGCTACCCCTTCTCTTCCCTCCCTCTCACCCCCTCTTTTTCTCAAATTCTCCCTCTTGTTTTATTTTGTTCCTCCCATGATCATTCTCATTTTCATCTCTCTAAAAGTCAATGTAAAGTAGTTAATGGTTATGGTCTGGTTTTGTTTATTTTTCCCCCATTCTTTTTTTTGTGGGGGGATCCATTCATTCATTGTTGAACTTTTCTCCCCTCCCAACCCAGGCCCCTCCTACACTACCCTCTTGGAAAATTAAAAGAATATAACTTTTGGAAGTAGGGGTGGCATCCACTTCCTAAACAACATGCCTCTTGAAACTATGAACTTTGATAAATGTTGATAGTTGTAGAGGGGTTTCAGGCCTTTTGTTCAAAGGGTCATGATGAATCTTGCTCAGCTTGAAGGCAATCAACAAAAACAGCAACAAATGTAACATACAGTTGCATGAAAATCAATGAGTTTTTATCCAGCTATCAAATCTTTCGTATTTCTTCTTATTATATTTTGCACTGGGGAAAGCTGAGGCCTCAAAAGACTGAGTAATTTACTCAAGGTTATGCAACTCGTAAGTGGCAGAACTGGATTCAATCTCAAACAGAATGGCTCCTGAGTTACTAATAATAACAACAAGAAGACCATGCTTCAAGTTTCTTTAGAGTTGTCATCCTGTCTCCAAAATCAAACCAACCCATTGCTGACAAGTTGACTCCAACTCAAAACAACCCTACAGAACAGAGTAAAACTGCCTCACAGGATTTCCAAGCCAATTGACTCTGCTTTCTTTTGGGAAACAGCTGACAAGTTCAAGTCTACCTTTTAGGGAAAAGTGCTGGTTCTAGAAGGTAAGTTACTAAAAGAATTAAGCACTTCATGGAGGAAAAAGCATACTTCTCAGGGGTGGGGGATGGGGGAAAGATGTCTCCTGCAGACTCCTTAGAATGAGAGACTGGTGACTGCTAAGACCAAAGCTGACATTTATAGAAGATTTCTACTTTGGACATTATGATGATCATAAGAGATAACAGGCATTGAATGCTGCTTGATTGAGTAAATATATGTAGCTTTGGTGGCCTAGCGGTAAGAAACTGTGCTTCAGTCCCAAAGGCATACATTTAAAATCAACTAGCTGCTCCACAGGGGAGAAGGATGAATAATTTCCTTTCATGTGATTTACTGTCTCTGAAAATTCGCTGGAGGTTCAGCTATGGGTTGGTTCCGACTCAATGGGACTCAACAACATTAGCAGGCAGGGACGTCTGGGAAACTTAATGATACAGAAAACACAACATGAAGAGTTGTCAGAGATTTCCCTAACTGGACTCTCCTGTCCTCTATATCTTGAGTCAAAAGGTGAGTGCAAGGGATTAAATGCAAGAGACAGAGTGTAAGAGATTAAACATGAACATAATAATGTATAATACCTTTTCCTCTTCATCATCTATCTTCAAAAGGGTTGACTGGTAATGTTGGCAAATCTGCAAACATCCTTTCCAGGTATTATGTTCAGTGGTAAAGTAATAACAGTTTATTCCACAACAAGACCATCTATATTCCTCAAGTCTGCCTACAACATATGAGGTGAATCATTAAACTTCTTGTCATTTGTTATTCTGTAAATTAAAATAATATATTTAACAGTCCTCTCCAACTAAATAAAATATAAGAGCTATTATAGTAATAACATGAGATTCATAAAACTAATAGAATGCCATCTAAATAAAAGAAGCAATTATAATAGTCTTCTCTTCTTTCTATATATTTAAAAAATGTACAAAACTTTACCATGTTCCTTATCCTTAATAATACAGTATATCTTTCCTGGCATACACAAATACATTAAGTATTTGGTTTCTTAATATGGAAACTGTAAATCTTAAATAATTATTGTACAGTTGTTTATCAGATTACTTCATTAAATCATTATGCAAAGTTCCAGAATCTATTTGATATGATTTAACATTGTTTTCTTAAATATTTTAATTATATCATCATATAGAGTCGCACAAGTATAAATATCTTGACAAATTTTGTAGATGTACTTCAGGAAAAATCTATTTGTCACAAACAGATCTGAAGTAGAAAAATGTCACCCTTATATCTGACATAAAGAAAATAATGGAAACACAATTATCTTTATAATTAATCCAAATAAAGTCCCTGGTGCTCATCTTAGCCTAAGTAAAATTTTACAGATAATGTCCATATTCCACATAAGCACCATATGGAAATATCTAATTTCTCATTGACTAAAAATGATCCAAATTTTCAGGAGAGCTAACACAGTTTCACTTGTTTGAAACAGTATAAGAATTTTCACTGAATTTTTTTAAAAATCGTGTTCTATTTTAGTCCTGGGGATAGACGTGTCGGAGACAATAAGATTGGCAAGAGATAGAGCAGGGCTAAGGGTCGCTATGAGTAGCAGGCGATTCAATGGCACATAACAACAACATTAGTCCATCATGGTTATTGGGTTCTCAACCCCATAGTTATCCATTACATCTAAAATCATCCAATACTTAAACTACTACCATACATTTTAAATCTATTTCCCTGGGTTCAAAGCTCTGAAGAGAGAAGAAATAATGCCAAGTCACACAACTTTCTTCAAAATGTCCTCCATACCTGTTTTTTGGAAAGATTTTGAATAGATTTTACTTTTTCTGTTACATCTGTTCTTTTTTACAACTAATGAATCAACTTTCTTCTGCTCCTTCATATAGCTATCGTTTTGCATATTGTGGCAATTTTGACTAAGATTTCGTAGAATTTCCTCCTGGTAATGTTTTTCTTGAATATGCTGAAAAACTAAAATTTATAACAATAATATAAAATAGAAAATATTCATAAGATTTTAATATTGACATTTAAGATGAAACAAAAAGTATCACTTTGGCAACCAAGACATTTCATCAATTAGTAATTTGTCATTTAGAAAGTAACACATTAATTCATTGACCACAGGAGTGGAAACATCAAATTTCTCAATATTAGTAACTTAAAAACATGCTAAATAAAACAATATATCTGAAGAAAACTATGCTGGTATTATTTTTCAACTTAGATTATTTGTAACAATTAGCACATCATTTAGAAATAAGTTGATGGTTATTAGGTCCCATTAAGGCTGTTCCAATTGATAACAATGCTGCACACAACAGAATAAAACCTGCCTAGGCATGCAGTATTCTTGTAACTGCCACTGTGCTTGAATCCAGTGTAAGAATAAGTCAGGCAGCATTCATCAACGTATCCAAGCCTCGAAGTTTATACTAAGAAGCCTGAAGTGACTTCACAATTATTACCCACGTCAGTAAACTATCTGGGTGAGGAAAGAAAGTGAATAAAATTCATATATGTAATTGTATTGAACTGCAAGCTGTTGGTTATTTTCTATAAAAGAACTGAAAGATGTAGCTTTGATTCAACACCATGAAATATTCTTATATAGAAATACACCAGGGGGTGGGGGGAAACAAAACTTTTGCTGTCAGATTGATTCCAGTTTATGGCAACCCATGAAGGTTTAGAGGCAAAAAGCTGTGCTGCAATCCCAAAAGTATGCAACACAGTGCAAATCCATCAGCTACTTCCCAGGAGAAAGATGCAAAATCTCCACCCGCACAACTGACTGAAAACTCATGATGGGTTGGTTCTGACTCTATGGTATACAAAAAAACAACAACATTGCATAGCTGAGGAAGCTCTGATAATGGTAAGGAAATGCACTGCCAACAAAAAGGTAGGTAGCTGAAATATATTAGGTGCTTCACGGGAGAAAAGTGGGCAGCCTCCTCCTGTGTGATTTACTGCCAATGAAAACCTGCTGGAGGTTCTGCTATTGGTTGGTTCAGACTCAATGATACACAACAACATAGCATATGATCGTGGAACTATGATCCGTAGGTTTTCAATAGCTGATTTTTCAGAAGCCAAGCTGGCCAAGTCTTTCTTTCCATTCACCTCTGAGAGGAACCAACAACCTTTTGGTTTGCACTCATCAATTCCTTTCTGTGTAGAGTTACTCTTTTTCCTTAAGCCACTTCCTCACAGTATACTTAGAAAAATTAAAAACACAGTCACAGTTTCTCTTGAACAGACATTTCTCAAATCATGTTTATTAAGATTTGCACACAACCTAAATCAGATGGCAAAACACTAAGTTCTTTATCAGAAGTAATATTACGAAATAAGACAGCTGCACCATCACAGCTTCAGGGTCAATGGAAATCAGTAAGGAAAAGAAAATGACACTGTGATGTAAAGGTGGTAAAGCCAAGAGTCACTTGAGACACTGCCTAATTGTAGCCAGGAACAGCTAATGTGGAATAGTTAAAATATGCACCATTTGTTGCTGTTATTCTCATTTCAGGGAGAGAAAGATGGACCATTTCTTCTCATTAATAAATAAAGGCCAGGAGCTCTGGTGGCCTAGTGGCAAGAAGTTGCACTACAGTCCCAGAGGTGTGTGGTTCGAATCCACCAGGAGAAGGAGGGACAATCTCCTCCTGTACCAGTCAGATCTAATTTGACAGTAATACACAAAAAAATAATAAAGTAAAATAATTTAAAAAAAAAAAGAAAAAAGGCTCAGAAAGTCAATGGAGGGTCAGCTATGAGTCAGATTTAAAGGCAGTGAGAGTGTGAATGAGTGTGTTTGAGTGCATGAATGAATGTGTGGCTGAGTGAGCCATTAATCACATCAAATGAATATACTCCAATACTTACCCATACTCCCCAACACAGCAACTGTCATCAATAGAAACAAAGAGAGAACCCCCAGAGTTATCGCCGTGAGACGCCAGGGCACTGAAAACTCTTTAAAATAAAAGATGAGGGTGAGGAATCATCATCATCTTCAGAGAAATAACTTGGTTCACTAAACCTGTAAACTAAGTGATTGAAAATTAAGTGAGATAAAAAAAATTGTTTTCCTGAAATTCTTCTTCATAGAAGCATCATATCATGTAAGTTGATTTATTGAATGTCTTGATCAAAAATTCTGTAGAAGAATCCTGATCAAAAAAGGAGAAATGCAGAATAGAATTTAAAATTCTCATGGAAGCCAAAAATTTTTGGAGTCATTTAGGTTGCATGAATCTCTGAAACTATTGTCCTAAGATAATACCTAAAAATATTTACTTTACCACAAGCATATTCCTGAAGTCTCTTAAAATTAAACAGTAGTTGTTAGCTCAAAAGCAACTCAAAAGATTAGACAGAAAACTTAGAGAACAGTGAGTTTATGTTAATGATGAAGGATCAAAATGAAAAATAAGAGTAAAAAATGGCTGCACAATTTGAAGTTACTGTTATTTTGTGTATGTTTTGTAGTGTATCTTCTCAAAAGCTGCAAATGGATATATGTGTTCTAAGGAAAAAACAAATCAATTGATCATGAATGAGTTGTGTGCACCTATCAAATAGTACATTTTAAACATATCCACTTTATTTAATGTCAATTATACTTCTATAAACCTGTTTAAAACAAAGGAGGATGGGGAAATATAAAGGACAGGTTAGAATCTCCAAAACACTTCACGTCCTAAAAAAATAAGGACTGTATAAGAAATGGAAAATATTATAAATAATATTTCCTTCCTTGACCAAACAAATACAATTATCTTAACTATTGACCAAAATCTAAGTGACAATCAAGCAATAAAAATTCAAGTCAAAAGGGTATTCTAGGAGTTGCACTGTTAACCCAAACGATCAAATCCTCCAGTTGCTCCTCACGAGAAATGTGGACCATCTCCTCCTGTGTAATTTACCACGTCTTTAACACAAGAGATGTTGTTATGTAATTAACACAACAATATAAAAAACAATGTAATAATATTCAATATTAATATTTACTCTGATAATATATCTGATTTGACAGTAATACACAAAAAATAATAAAGTAAAATAATTTTTTTAAAAAAAGAAAAAAGGCTCAGAAAGCCAATGGAGGGTCAGCTATGAATGTTTTGTGATAATCAGAGTCCATTAGTTTTTCCATTCTCAAATTTGTGAAAAAGAAAAAGTGTCCATTCTACTCTTTGACATTTCTACTCCATTATGGTTTCATTTGGCCAGCAGATAGACATTTTGTTTTTCAAATATTAAAAGTTTGACAACCTTGAGAGATAAATTACTCCAGAACATTAGAACAAATACCTTTTTGTCCTGTTTCCCCTGGTCCCTGAGTACCAGCAGATCTTACTTTATTCTGTGACTCTGAAGAGGACTGAAGAAATCTCAGTGCTGAATAAGTAACTTCCTGATCACTCATGTCTAAAGTAAGAAGAGAAAGATGTTGTGCATTAAATACTTGCCACAAGATTATTCCTCAGAAAATTAAAATATCAGCCTATAATCACCTACCAGGATTTGACACTGGAAAGAATCAGATGTATGTGTATATTAACTTCTTCAAGAACTTAAAAAAATTAAACTGGCTTGCTTATACCAGAAGTGGGAAATTTGTTAGCTTTTCCAGGAAAGTAATTTATACTCTTAAGGCTGATGGCTATCATCAGTCTAAAATTTGGAAAGCAAAAATAAATCTATCAATAGATTATGGTCTTATTAACCCAATTTTATTAATTGTGTTCAACATGCAAGTACAGATCTTATGTCAAACTGGTAACAGTCCGAATCATAAATACTTTTAAAATCATCAATTAAAAAACATTAAAACAAATTCTACATTCAGAAATAAGTAAATCTGTATTTAAATAAAAGCAATAAAAAGACCTCTATGCTTATTCTTTTTCTGTTGACAGGATGCTGTAAGATCTGGTTTCACCTTTGTCTTTCCAGGGGTCCTTTCCCCCTGTTCGCTGTTCTTATCACTTTAACACTTTTTGCACTGATGACCTTTTATTTTATAGTTATGCCTCTTATTGCCTTAATAAACTGGTTTTGCTAAAAAAAATTAAAATAAAAAAACCCCTATATTTCTTTCTTTCCTTACTGTACGTGTTCTCATATATGAATGAACAAAGTTTGTTTAGAGATTTTCTTTTCTTTCTCTTTTAGATTTTTTTTTTAAATGGGGGAAAGTGCGAACATGGTCCTTCACTACGACTGATTGCACAGTTGAGTGTCCCACCTTCAGGGAAATCACAGGGGTCGGTACATTTGGAATTCAGTGGCTAAGTCTGTCCTGGGAAAACCACCTTCATGATCATGCTATCTCCCCTGTCAGGCAAGTAAAAATAAAGTTTTTATGTGTGTGGGTTTGTGTTTTTGTGGGGTTTAAAAAAATTTTATTTTATATTGGTTTGCTTACAAAGTATTCATATCCATTGTGTTTCACACTATTAGTCTTCATTCATATTGTGGTTTATACAACCATTCTCATGCATTAAAGTTTTTATAATCTTTGTAATTACTACATTGTACTAAAGTGTTTCTCAAAGTCCATCTCATAAAACTTCTGTGAAATAATTTTTTGCATTAACTGAATAATGTCCCCATATTCTAATGTTTCATGTAAGAGCATTAGAATCTGTATAATTGGAATCCATTTGGACATCAAACTTTTTTTTTTTTTTTTTTTGGTGAGAAAAATTTATTACATTTAGAATTAGCCCACTGGACTCAGTTTAGATGATCCCAATTTTGTTGGCAACATCCAAAGCATCATAATCAGGAGCAAGTGGAACATAGGCCTTCTTCTCTCCATCAGGCCTAATCAAAGTGTTGACCTTAGCCACATCAATGTCATAGAGCTTCTTTACAGCTTGTTTAATTTGGTGCGTATTGGCCTTGACATCCACAATGAACACAAGTGTGTTGTTATCTTCTATTTTCTTCATAGCTGACTCAGTGGTTGGGGGAAATTTGATGATGGCATAGTGGTCAAGCTTGTTTCTCTTGGAAGCGCTCTTCCGGGGGTATTTGGGCTGCCGTCGGAGTCTCAGCGTCTTAGGCCGCCGGAACGTGGGTGACGTGCGGATCTTCTTCTTTTTTTGGCTGTGGACGCCCGTCAGGACTGCCTTCTTGGCCTTCAATGCCTTTGCTTTGGCTTCAGTTTTGGGAGGGGCAGGGGCTTCCTTCTTCTCTTTCGGCGCCATCTTCGTAGAAAAAACGGACATCAAACTTTTAAAATAACCTACTCATATACAATGGAAGTCAAGGTGGCAATAGAACTCGTCAAGAGTGATGAATTTGTCATTAGTGATGAATTGCATGAAAGAATGCAATCTATTAGTTATTTAATCAATAGTATGTATTGCTTGATTATTATTTAGTAATCATTTATTTCAAATCAAATTTATTATTTATTGTGTAATTATTATGTAGTAATAATTTTATCAGTTATTTAATTATTCTTTTATTAATTATTAACAATCAGTACAGAAATTGTTAAATAGAAAATAGATTGTCTATTTTGCTTCTTACAATAACCCATATTAAAGGATGATCTCTAAGAAAGAATAAATAGGGGAAAACAAATAATAGTTACAACTGCACCTTTCTATTTTTTTTCCTTTTTTTAAATATTTTTTTGTTTGTTTTTATTAATTTCGATGAACATCTACAGAGATTTTGGATATCCATTCACTTATTGTTGCACTTTTCTCCCCTCCCACCCCACCCCCACCCCAAGTTTGCTCTTCTTCTTGAAAAGCAAAAGAAAAACTCCTTCATTAGTACACAATCCCCCACCTCCTGCACACCCCCACCCCCACCCCGAGTATACTCCACTCTGCAACCCTCATTCCGGACTCATGATAATCATAATGCCCTAAAATATATTACTTTTAAACTATTCTCTCCCTCGTCGGCTTCAATGCCGTAAACATAATTTATCTATTTTTTTGTTTACAAAAAGTTTATTTTGCCATATTCTCTAATTTCCTGCAGAAAGGGAGTCTCTTCAATTACAGAATTCTTCAAGATGCAGAAGATAAAATGTAAATCCTTAGAAACAAAAAGTAACTAATCTTCCATACACTCTTTATTATTTTTATATCACATAGCAAAGATCACAGCATGTTGAGAAAGGAAAGGTGAACATCAACCCTTGTAGGGGCAATCTTTTAAAGCAATCCAATAGAGAAGCTTCTCCTAGGAATCCTGTACTCTAAACAGGTCATTTATAGTAAAATATAATAGTCCTGCTTTCCCTACAATTATTCCTTCTAAGTAGAACTAAATAAAGTTCAGGGATCCCAGAGAACAAAAGCAGATGGTACCTGTGCCATGCGAGGAGGCAGGTGGAGAAAGTGGAACCAAAAATAAAGTGGGAGAAGTTGTCTAGCAGAAATGAACTGTCTCTGAAAGATACTCATCAAAAATTTCTGCCACTCCCTTTGACCAAAACACAGAGGAAACTATGTATTAAAATGTCACATTGACAGGAAAGCAAGATGACATTGAGCTATTTTTCCCTTCATTTCAACTAACCAGCCACTTGTATTCAAAGTCTGTATTTAATAACTGGAAGATAGTGGGGCATATCTTTGAAGAAAACAAGAATACCTTCAACAAGAAAATGAACATATTAAAACATCACTAGCTTGTTTAATCTCTGTCTAATCTTTGTAACCCTAGAAAGCAAATAATATCATCACATTCACAGTAGTGAATCCAAGGTTTACTAAAGTGAAGTATTTGCCCCCCTCCAAATTATTCCTTTTCTTCAATTTTGTTTATTACAGGTAAATACTGTAGAAATTACTACAGAACATCCTTAGTCTCTCAATAAAAAAATTAGGTATATTCTTTCAGGAGTTTTTCCTATATATTATATCTACTTTCAAAGCTAGTATTATTCTATATGTAGTAATTTTTATCTATTACTTTCTAACAGATAAGTATCTATATGAAAATATTCTAAATTTGAATGTAAAGATCACAAATACTTACTACTGTATATGGCCTCCTATTCAAAAAGGCATTTATTCACCAGTAGGGGTCTGGGAACCAGACTGTACAGAGGTAACTTGTATTTGCTGTGATGCTAAAAACATTGGGACACTGATGTGTCAAATGCAATAATGATTACCTATGGTGGACAATGTTTGGTGGAGCTCCCTGATTAAAACAAGCTAGGAAGCAGGAGTGGCATCTACTTCTGAAATAGCTTGCCTCCAGAAACACTATGAACTTGGAGAAACGATGGAAGTTATAAAAGTGTTCAGGCCACTTAACAACAACAACAGAAGATAGAAAGTTATGCTACCAAGCCAAAGGTGGGTGATTGTAATCTGCGGCCCTCAGGCCTGATTATAGTTTTGGTCAAACATTATTCTAAGTGGTGTAGTACTGGTCTATTCATTTACTGTACTGAAGTAACTTGTGGTTGTTGTGATGCTAAAAACTGTGACACTGATGTATCAAATGCGATAAATTGTTACCTATGGTAACCACTGTTTAGTGGAGCTCCTCAATTAAAATAAGCTTGGAAGTAGGAGTGGCATCCACTTCTGAAATAGCTTGCCTCCAAAAACTCTATGAACTTGGAGAAATGATGAAATTATACAAGTATTCAGGTCTTTCGTTCGTAGGGTCACTATGAGTCATCTACGACTCCACGTCACTTAATAACAACAATATTAGTATATTGTAATTTATCTTCTGGTGCATGTTTCTTATACTATTCTTTGTATTATACTGTTATTGTTGATGTGTGCTGTTGAGTTGAACAAATCATAGCTGACCTTAAAGCAGGTTTTCAGAGGTAGAAAACTGCAGGGGAATAGACTGCCCATTCTTTCTCCCTCGGAGAAGCTGGTAGATTCAGTGTGCAACTCACCTTTTTACCAACAGGCTAATAGAATGAATAATACTTGCTACTTCAGAGTATTTTCTTGGAAAAATGTTCTACATATCTAATTCTAGGGGTCAAAGCATACATATATTTGAAGAATTTTTATACATACTACCAAATGTCCTCCAGAGAAGTAGTTGCTAAAAATATGCAATTATGTAGAAATATTCACAAAATTTTTTAAGATGAAATACTGGTAAGCATACCAGTAATTGAGTTGGCCCACACATCTTGGTTCTAATATCTTTCTCTATAATCTCCTAGCAAGGCCTTGGATCACAAGTCAAAGACTGAAAAGAAATCCATTTCTCTGACAGTTACTATGAGCAACATCATGACAGGATTAAAATCTCTCCCTGAAGCTCATTTTCACGCAATATAGACCTTTTCAGTCTTACTAAGTACATTTCTTTAAAAATAGTTTGAACAGTTCTTCTCATACAGGCAATAGTCATTAAGAAGGGGTGGATGATGAGTGAGGTACAAAAACAAGGAATATTGTTGTTGTT